TACAAAAAGTAAGACAAAAACAATCAGACAATACGAACAATTTAAAAGCACAACAGACACAGCAAAGTTGTGGCTGTTTCAGTGCCACTGGCTACTGTTGTGGTCATGTGATTTTCATTTTCAACATTCCATGACAGTTTCCCAGCCAGTCTCACAATCCCTCCTTTCCTCCACTTCCCTGCCTGCTGGGGAGATGAGGAAATTTCCAATGTTCCTTACCCGATTCCCACAAGAAAACTCAGTGGGAAGACAGCAGGAAGTCAGAAGACATTCCTGCTTCCATTGCTTTTTTGTGCAATTATGGCCATTTTGTTTCTCTGTTTAGGTAAGTAAATATCTCTATAACGATGAGGCATGAATTGCCTTATCCACCCTAAAAGCAGAATAGGAGAGATTTTCATTTTATAATGAGGGATACAATCGTTCAATTCATTGCAGTGTCAGGAAAAAATATTAACAAGTGACGAAATGAAATAAAACATGCCCTAATAAACTAGTACAGAGAAGTGAACGGGTTGCAAGATGGGGCTCTAATGTTAACTTTGGAAAATATATAGTTGTCTAGATACCAAGATCAGGGCTGTAGTGGCTTTTAAAGGTCTTTTTGTCTTAATCCATGTCATATACTGAAATTATTTTAAAAGCAGTACTGCATTTCATTTGACAGATCATATAACATGTTATATGTTAATTGTGTTCTAATTTCTAGGAATATATTATTCGTGTACAAAGAGGGATTTCAATGGAAAACAGCTGGCAGGTAACTTCTTGACTTCTTAATATAAATTATAACATTTTTTTTCAACTAAACTAGGATAATACAGTATTTTCACCATATAATCACCATTTAAGAATCATTTGCTATAATGAATGAATTTTATTTTTGAATGAAAGAAGTTTCAGTGAGATCAGAGCTTAGCTCATCATTTCTGCTTTCTCTTTCTCATATTCAGTCTTCTTGGCATGAACCAACAGAGCCATAACTCAGTTGGTACATGTTAAATCATCACTAGTTTTAAGGTAACTAAAGTAATTAAAGAGGGACGCGGTGGCTCAGTGGCTAAGATGCTCAGCTTGCTGTTCAGAAAGGTCGGCAGTTCGGTGGTTCGAATCCCTAGTGTCGAGTAACAGAGTGAGGTCCTGTTACTTGTCCCACCTTCTGCCATCCTAGCAGTTTGAAAGCTGGTAAAAAATGCAAGTAGAAAAATGGGAACTAATTTGTGGGAAGGTAACAACGCACCATGCGCCTTCGGCATTTAGTCATGCCGGCCACATGACCATGGAAATGTCTTTGGACGGTGCTGGCTCTTTGGCTTGAAGCAGAGATGAGCAACACCCCCTAGAGTCAGGAACGAGTAGCACATATGTGCAAGGGGAATCTTTACCTTTACTTAAAGTAATTAAAATCAGTAAAGCCAAAGTCTATTACAGGTAACCATTACTTACTACCACAATGGAGCTTGGAGTTTGGCTATTAAGTCATTGTGGTCATAAAATCAAGACATCATGTGACCAAATTTGATTTTATGACTATTTTAACACTATTTTAGTCACTATGGTTAAGTAAACCACATGGTTGTTAAACGAATCCAGTACATCTAATGGGCACAAAAGAGCAGAAAACAAATTGCAATCATATGATTTCAGGACATTGCAACCAGTTGTAAATGTGAGACGGTTGTCAAGTGCCTGAAATGTGACAGGTTGTAAGAAACTGTTTTAAAAGCCTGTCATAACTTCCAATGGTTATTAAGTGACCACCTGTTGTAAATCGAGTATAGATTCTCTTCCCCGTGATCTTCTTAAAATCGGAATAAGAGCCAATTGGAATAAACTGAATTCCGTTTGTTAGTGTTAAACTTATACTTTCATAAGATCTTTTTTCTGTGGTTTGCTAGTAATAAGTATAGGTAAATGTAAAGGTTCCCCTACGACATGTGTGCTAGTTGTTCCCGACTCTAGGGGCGGTGCTGATCTCCTTTTCAAAGCCAAAGTGACGCTGTCCGAAGATATCTCCGGGATCATGTGGCCAGCATGATTAAACGCCGGAGTAATAAGGATACTCTATTTTAAAGACTAATGAAACTAACTCCAGGACATGACCAGCTGACAATTATTTCATTATTCCTGTCCTCTCTCAAATTATGAAGTCCAGACTACAGTTGGCCTCAAGCCTAGAACCTGGACTAGCAGATAATGACAGAATAAGGGCCCTTCCAAAAGTTTTACTTAAAATAAAAGTCCTCTCACCTAATAGATATGAACAGAGGTCAGACTCTTTGCATTGTCTGCCTTGAAGAAAGTAGGTTGGGGCTACCTGAGTCTGAGTCTCACCAATCTATTATAGAGTGAATAGGAAGCTCTGTGCTTCTCAACAGTGATTTTTTCACCTGCTGCTATAGGAGAAAGGCAACATTAATCATTTTTCTCTCCTTTTGCTCTTTTTCAAGTATCTTTAAAAACAGTTGCTTTTCTCTTCTGGTGAAAAAGTCATCCATGAAATGCTAACTACTGGAGAAGATCCAATAACTCTTGTTTTTTAAATTATTTCTAAAGCTGGCAGGTTATAATGAATCATTGGCTGCTTGCATCCAGAACAGCCCTGAGCAAGAGTTGTAAGGCTGCATAATTCTTATTTATGATGTTGAGTAAAGACATGAAGTATACTTGATTGACACAGATACAAAGAAGAAATGGTTTTATAGCTGATAGGATGATGGAGTTAGGAAAAGTTGTATCACTCTTGGGAAGAGACCTGATAGCTTCATCCTTTGAAATGCAGGTCTGTGATATGTGAGAATGCCAAAGTTTTCGATGTTTTTTTAAGAAGCTGGTCCTGTATTTCATTTCAGAAGGACAGAGGGTGCTGCTAATTAGGATCCTTGCAAACATTAGTTCCGGAGGCATAGATGCCATAGGAGAAAGAAATATTTTAATTACCTATAAAGAGCCCTGCTGGATTAGATCACAATCTCAGCTAGTCTAGCCTTCTTTCTGAAGGGCCAGATGTATTTGAGAAGTCACAAGTCTCAATGTTGCCAGACGCTCCAAATTTTCCTTTTGATATTCCTCCCCAGGAGAGAAGATTTTAGGCACGTGGTACTTATGGTTCTTAAAATAGTAAACAGCTACCAATATTAATATTAGGAATCATTGATTGTCTAATCCAGTGATGGCTAACCTTTTTTAGCTTGTGTGCCAAAAGTACTGGGGGGGGGGCACGGGGGTCGTGCGTGGGCGTGCCACACCCATAATGCTATGAGTGTGACCCCAGCACACTTTTTTCACCCTCCCCAGGCTCCAGAGGCTTTCTAGGAGCCTTGGGAGGGCAAAAACAGCCTGACCCCCCCCGAGCCCCCCCCCCCGGGGGCTTCAGGAGCTTTTCTGAAGGCTCCAGAGGGCGAAAAATGGCCCTACGAGCAAACCGGAAGTCTGTTCCTGAACTTCCGGTTTGCCTGTAGGACCAGTTTT